TAGGTGAGTATTTAGAGGGGGGTGGGCAGGAAAGGGGGAGGAGGGGAGGTGTGGAACTTAGGATCGATAGGTGTGCCCTGTGTATGTGGGAATTTTAGTACCAACATTGATATCGAATCTCCTCCCAACATCCGTGTGACATTGGTAATCTTTGTCAAGAACATGATGATTTTTTAGGATTGCAATATCCGCAGTGGAATAGCCAAAATAAAACTACGTGCTGCACCCTTGCCTCGTCAACTGATCGAGCATTTGGAAAAAAACGAAGAAGCACTACGAGACCTTAGGCAAGGCAGATTCACAAAGGCTGTAGAGAATCTGCACCAAACACTGTTGCAAGAAGGAATAAATTGGCTCAAAGATTACAAGGGAAGCATATGGTCAAAACAGCGAGTTGAACAACTGAGGTTTGTTTTCTTTTTTGCTGGAGGAGAGTAACTTTATGAAGAAATAAGCTGCTTAAATCCGGATTTTATTTCACAGATCTTCATTCGAAGCATCACTAACAAGAGATACCCACTTTGGTTGTCTGGGCAATCTTAGTATTCTTCCTGTGTGTGTGATACAGAACCGGGCATGCCTGGGGGATGAATTTGATTATTTTAAATCGTACATGGGCTGGGAACATTTCTTGAAAATTTCAGCTTCCCGGTTTTGCTATTTCTCGAGTTGGCCATTTTCAAGCCAAAAAATCTGGTGGTTTCGTGACCTCTCTGATGGTCCTTCTTATCTGTCGCGGAGAACTACGCAAAAAGCCGGCAGCTAAGAAGCTGCCATATAGGAAAAAAAGAGAGAGTGGAAGGAAGGGGTATATTGCCTTGAAAGGCAGATATACAGTAGATGTGCTGCCAGGCTGAACTCGAAGCACAAGGATCGATGGTGTAGTGGTAACACATTGCATCCGGACGCAGTGAGGAGTGGTTCGATTCCCTCCTGGTCCGGAACAATTTTTGAAAATGGGCCCCCATTCACGGCACCATCCATCGGCCGGTCTCAAGTTCTGTTGTCATTCTTAGGCGATTTTGTAATGGAGTACGTAAAAAAAGATTTTGAGTGTTGCAAATACCAGTTACTATTTCAGCTTTTTTTTTCAGGAATTTTATTGACAGGATATGGGCTTTTGGACCACCGCGAGCCCGATTCAATATTTTGTTCAATGCGGTTGCTGATTATGAAAGACCATCCATATGGAAAAGTAATTTGTGAATTTTCATTGCATCTGTCAACATTTCATGACCCCAGTCCGTTCTTCAGCCCTTCTTTTTCTGATTTTTTAGCACCAAGAAAAGAAAGCGATGTAACTTTATAGAATTGCATTTCGCTTAGCTTATTAACCTGCAGTTTTTTTTTTTTTTGAAAGTTATGAAGGCTTTTATAGATTAGTTTCCACTAACCCCTCCCCCCAAATGTATGTTACTTACTCAACCGGCAAAGGATCTACGCCATTTAGTTTATATCCACTTATCCCAGCTCCCTCTCCCCTCCAAACCGCCGCTATCAGCCGTTCTGCAGCCCTCCAGCCATCGGAAGAAAATTGAGACGGGGACTTCAGTGCCTATTGCCATATTAAGAAAAGAAAGGGAAAGCTAGGAATTCATTTTTAATTTGCTTTATGATTTTTGCATTTTTTTTGCAGAGCAAACAACCAAATTACGGTATTTTGATCAATCCATGATAGCTGGTTTTGATTTGGCGATGAGTGCTGGTCCA